CTGATTCTACCGACCTGATTGATTTTAGCCCGACCTAATTATAGGGCATCCGATGGATTGTTTTCTTTGCCAGCCCAGCGTTTTCCCTTCATATAGCGGCCTCCCGGGGTCGTCGGCCAGCCCTGGGCCCGTCCAAGGTAAGTCCTGGGCGAGAAACTGTTCCTGGGTGGGTGGTGGCCGCGTCTACAGCAAATAAACACATCGTAGTTTTAGTTGTCGTCGTTTTTGTTTTTGTTGTTGTTGTTTTGTTGTTGTTGTGGTTGTGGTTGTTGTTGTGGTTGTTGTTGTTGTTGTTGTTCTTGTTGTAAGTGTTGTTGTCGTTGTCGTTGTCGTTGTCGTTGTCGTTGTCGTTGTCTTCGTTGTCGTTGTCGTTGTCGTTGTCGTTGTTATTGTTATTGCTATTGTTGTTGTTGTTGTTGTTGCTGCTACTGCTGCTGCTGCTGCTGTTGTTGTTGTTGTTGTTGTTGTTGTTGTTGTTGTTGTTGTTGTTGTTCTTGTTGTTGTTGTTGTTGTTGTTGTTGTTGTTGTTGTTGTTGTTGTTGTTGTTGTTGTTGAATGTTTTTTACTGAACAATTATTATTGTTGGACCCTTTAACAGCGCCCTGGCGCTCTCGCCGAGGCGCCCGCTACATTTTCATTGAACATGAGGCTCACGCTCGAGCGGTTTGCGGGACCGCCAAAACCGGCCCCCAAACAACAACAACAACGCTCCCGCTTGAGACATCCTCCTTTTTTATTCAGGGCTGGTGTTCTTGTTCGCCGCCGAAAGCCGCCGTCCTAACGAAACCAGCGCTTCTGCTCGAGACTTTCTCCCGTTTTACCTTGGACTGGCGCGGTAGTCTTTCTCTCATCGGCGCCGCCCCCAGCAAAAACAACGCTCCCGGTCGAGGCTTCCTCCCTTTTTTACTCAAGGCGGTGCTCCTCCTCGCCGCCGAAAGCCGCCGCCCCGACAAAACCAGCGCTCCCGCCCGACACTTCCTTCCGTTTTACGCTGGACTGGCGCCCAACTCTCTTTTGAATTGGCGCCGCTCCCAGCAAGAACAACGCTCCTGGTCGAAGCTTCCTCCCTTTTTCCTGAAATGGGTGCTGTTTCTCGCCGCCGACAGCCCCCGTCCCGACAAAACCACGGCTCCCGCTCGACGCTTCCTCCTTTCTTGCTCAAGGCGGTGTTCCTCCTCGGCGCCGAAAGCCGCCGTCCCAACAAAACCAGCGTTCCCGCTCGAGACTTCGTTTTGTTTTGCGCTGGACTAGCGCCCTACTCTCTTCAGCATTAGCGCCGCTCCCAGCACCAACAGCAGCCCTGCTCGAGACTTCCTCCCTTTCGACAGCCCCCATCCCCACCAAGGCAATCCTGTCGTTCGATACTTCCTTGTGCTTTACCCTTCGCTGGGGTTCCACAAGCGGTCTCGCATCGGCGCAGCAAGGCGCGGGCATGTGTTTTCGAGGTGGGATATTTTGAAATTCCTCGGAGGAGGTGTTTGCAAGACCTCATTGGGCGGGAGATCTGGGAATGGGAATAACTGACCCCGCTATAGAACAAGAGTCCTCCATGATGTGGATGGTTAAAATGATGGTCGCATGCTTCGTGTGGAAACATCGCGCATGAGGGTAATATGATTATTGTTGTTGTTGTTGTTGTTGTTGTTGTTGTTGTTGTTGTAGCTGCTGTGTGTATGTGTGTGTTTGGCGAGTGGCCTTGCATGGCGTTGGTGCGGCTTTCCTCGCTCGTGCACCTGCGCCGTTGGCGGGGGCTACAGCTCTCGCACCCGCCACGCGGCATTTTCCTACCGTTGTGCAGTGCTGCGCCCTTACAGCGACACCTACAGGCCACGCTTTTTTCGCGAGTAGTTACCTTTCCCCACTCTTGCATTGCATTGCGTGATCGGTTCGGCCACTTCCGCGTGCATCCGCCTCTGTGTTTTTTCTGCATGTGACTGCCCCCATCCAGTCCTCTCATCTGACACGCCAGGTGGTGTCGCGACGGAGGAGGAGGAGGATCAGGATGAGGATTAGGATCATGAGCAGGGAGGAGGAGGAGAAGGTGGAGGAGGAGGAGGAGGAGGACGAGGAGGAAGGAGAGAAGCAGGATTAAGAGGGGGCAGGATGATGGTGATGATGATGCTGCTGCTGATGATGCTGCTGCTGCTGATGATGATAATGATGGTGATGCTGATGATGATGCTGCTGAGGATGTTGCTGATGATAATCAGCGATGCTGCTGATGACGATACCGATGCTGATGATGACGACGATGATGATGATGAGGATGATGATGGTGATGCGGATGAGGATGATGCTGCTGGCGATGGTGGTGATGATTATGCTTATATTGGCTATGACGACGATGATGCAGATGAAGATGATGCTGCTGGTAATGATGACGACGATGCTGATTCTGGTGCTGATGCTGATACTGATGATGCTGATGATGATGATGATGATGATGATGTTGATGATGATGATGGTACTGATGATGATGCTGATGATGACGACGTTCATG